CCATGCTCACCCACTGAGCTAACCGGCCATCCCTATATGGGATCCGAACCCGGGGCCTTGGTGTTATCAGCACCACACTCTCCCGAGTGAGCCACGGGCCGGCCCAAAAGTGGTAGTTTTTATACCACTAAACATAAGCTTACCATAGGTATTTACACAAAATTGTATTTGGGAAATGTTCTTCACAGCTTCATAATAGCCCAGAGCTAGAAATGACCCAAATGTCCTTCAGTAGGCGAAAGGAGAAACAAATCTTGGTACATGAACACGTTGGAATGCTACCCAGCAATTGAGCCGCAGCAGTGTCTGATGCAGACAGCAGGTGTCTGAGCCTCAAACCATCATGCAGGTGAAGGAAGACTACCAAAGACCCTGCGCTGTGTGATCCCATTTATGTGAGATTCCCTCTGGTTGCTTGGGGTTGGGGGATTGACTGGGAAAGGGCAGGAGAGAACTTTGGGGTGATGGAGATGTTTTGTAACGACTGAGCTGGTGGTGGATACACCGGTTTATACATTTGTCAAAACTTACTGAGCTGTAGTCTCTTTTTCTTTTTTTTTTTTTTCTATTTTGCAGCTGGCTGATGCAGGGATCCAAACCCATGATCCTGATGTTATAACACCATGCTCTAACCAAATGAGCTATCAGCCAGCCCCTTAACTGTATTCTTAAAATGTGCACATTTAATTGTATGTGAATTATACCTTGATTAAATTGATTTTATTTGTTTCCTTTTTTTGGAAGCTCGGCAGCCCAGGAACTGAACACCTGATCCTACCATGCTCTAACCAACTGAGATAATCCGCCAGCGCCTAAAGTCAATTTTACAAAAAAGCACTGACACACTACAACGTTGATGAACCTTGAAAACATGATGCTGAGTGAGAGAAGCCAGACACAAAAGGACACATAGTGTGTGATTCCATTTACATGAAATGCCCAGAACAGTACAATCCACAGAGACAGAAAGTGGGTTAGTGGTTGCCAGGGCTGGGAGAGGAGGGGAGTGGCTGCTGATGGGCACGGGGTCTCCTTCCAGAGTGATGAGATGTTTCAGAACTAGCTGGAGGTGGTGGTTGCACATCACTGTGCCTTGCCCCTGAATTGTTCACTTTATAATGGTTAATTTTATGTCATGTGAATCTCACCTTGATAAAAAGGACGAGAGGGAGAGGAAGAGAAGAGGAGAGGAGGAGGAGGGGGCGCCCTTGCTAGTCCCTAAGTGGAAGAGGAGCACTCATCTAGGTGCCCCTTGCCCACGCCCAGGGGTGCAGGGCAGGACAGGACAGGGGGCGGCACAGGGCAGCAGGGGTGGGAGTTTTTGAGGAAGATGGGTTTATCCAGCATCTTCCTAGCCCCAGAGGGCTCTGGTCCTTGAATTTCGGCAGCTCCTTCATGGAGCCCAGGCTGGCCAGGAGCCCCAGCTGGCCAGACAGGTTCCTGCACAAGTCCTCAGCCCAGTGCCAAGGCCTTCACAGCTTGCCCAGTGACTCAGCCTGACACAGACGAGCTGCACAGCCCTGGCTGATGGGACAGTCACAGCTTGCAGGACATCCTGAAGGCAGGCAGAAACCCCTGCAGGGCTGAGTCACTGAGGGCCTGGGGCAGGCATCAGATCTGTGACATCCTTGCTCTCCCAGCCTGGCACACCACTCCCCTGTAGCTCTCCATCCCAGCGAGTGGCACCTTTGCCCACGGCCACACACCAGGTGTGTTCGACCCACACGACTTCCCTCCTCCCCACACCCTGCCTAGCCACCCCTCTGCTTTCCTCTCCCTCTCCCAATACTGTCCTCCCATCTTCAACCCCATGGCCTCCCCCAGTCCAAGCCACTTTCATCTCTCCCCTGGACCCCCAGGACCTCCTGATGGGCACAGCGTCATCACCCCTCTTCATCACCCTCCACCTGGCAGCCACAGGCCCTTTGCACTGACTGGCTCTTCATCAAATGCTGGTTTCTGCTTGAGGGTCCTCTCCTCCAGAGGCTTTCCCTGACCATCATTATGTCTAAAGAAGCCCCCTCCCCTCCCAGTCACTCTCTAACAGCAGGGGCCTATGAACCAATGAAGGAGGGCATTTCAAACAGTTCGTGGAAACATAGAAAAAAGATAATATGAATCTAAGACTGGCTGGTTAGCTCAGTTGTTTAGAGCGTGGTGTTATAACAGCAAGGTCAAGGGTTTGGATCCCAGTACTGGCCACTGCCCAAGAAATAAAAAGAATAAATTAAATGTATGTATCTCTAATCTGGCTCTAGGGGGAGAGTGATTTGGCACAATCTCTATGAAGAGCAATTCGGCCACTCTGTCCAAACTACCAGTACACACATCCTTCGACCCACTCCTGTGCCTGTCCGTGAGTACAGACATTCGTGTTCAAGATCAAGTGTCTGTATAAGCATGTTTATTGCAGCATTTTTTATTGTGGTAAAATAAATAAAACATAAAGCTGACCATTAATCATCTTTAAGTGCACAGTTCAGGGGCATTAAGTACATTCACACTGTAGTACAGCCATCCCCACCATCCATCCCCAGAACTTTTTCATCTTCCCAAACTGAGAGTCATACCCGTCGAACACTAACTCCCTATCCTCCTCCCCGCAGGCCCTGGCAACATCTATTCTACTTTCTGTCTCTAGGATTATAAGTGCTCCAGGAACCTCACATGAGTGGAATCACACAATATCTGTCTTTTTGTGACTGGCTTATTTCACTTGGCATAATATCCTCAATGTTCACCATGTTGTAACGTGTGTCGGAACTTTCTTCCATAAAAAAGAACTTTCTGGGCCGGCCCGTGGCTCACTCGGGAGAGTGCGGTGCTGATAACACCAAGGCCCCGGGTTCGGATCCTATATAGGGATGGCCGGTTCGCTCACTGGCTGAGCATG